CGGAGTGACATCTTCATGATTGACTAACACCCTCCAATTTTGAAATGGATCTGACTGCACAATATCTATCGCTTCTGCTAAGATCCGTGAAACATTCGGTATTTACGAACATGTCCATTGAACAATTCCTTTTGCATTGGTGTCGTACCTTGCATACATGTTAATAGCAGTAATTGCAAACACATCCTGTGATGCTTTAATGTCACACTTTTAATTTATTATTGTTTGTTTGTTTTTCTAATAATGCCCTTTACTCTACATTCAGTATTGTGGCCTTACCATATTTGTGTCTCTTTATCTCGTTAGGGTTACGTTTCCGCCCATGCTCTCCAATGTAAATATGGCACTTCAGAATGTTCTCTATCTTCATTCCAAGTTTGTGCACGGCATTCGGGAACACCATGTTTAATAAACTAAAATGAAAGCAGGATCCTCTACTGCAGCGTATTATCTCCCAGAGAGTTCCAAGACTTCACCCCTATACCGAACAACCATTACAGAAACCAAATATAGATTAGCAAACTTGTGAGATGTCCTCGATGTTGTACCGTAATGTTTACATCATAAAATGAAGGACTGCGTATACCTTATTTTTTCCAGACCTAACACGTTATCATCTGGCTCCTAAGAAAATTAGTGAAGGTAACTTTGTTCCTTCAGACGCACACAATCCAATTTGCATACTACCGGTATCATTTTAATCAGGTACATTCATAGTATACATTCATAGAACACATTCGTAGTACCTGAACATACAGGATGTCCCCGATTGCCGTTTACAAACATGAAGGGGAGGTAGAGAACATTGTGAAGAGACATATTTACATAGGAAAGCATGAACGGAAAGTGATATTTGGCGATGTTCGTGAGCTCGTAAGGTTGACACGTGAGGTTTTTTTTATTTCAGATATTGCCAGCGTGCGAAAAATATGAATCATTATAAGAATGCTGAATTAGCGGATATCCACTTTATCTACGACATAACCAACAAAAATGGATGTGTTACAGTTCAGTTGTATAGGGGAAATATATATCCAACGAGGTGGCAACGGAATCTTCACACATTCAAATCTTCATTAGACCTCAGAAACCGGTGGAACATAGATCTTTCATGGTCATGAAGGGAGGTCTTGGGCGACCACGAACAGCACGAAATATTTGAAGAGGGGCCGCTTACCATTGTAAACGGAAGATCTCGAACAACTGTCCTTCGTGTACTGCAGTGCGAAGCCTTATATCCATTTCCTGTACAGATTGCGGTTATTGCAACCAGATGATCACCCACGACATGTCGCATTTGCACAGTGGTTTGTTAATTAGAGGCAGACATGCAATTTGCCAATTCAGTGTTTTTTGTGGTGAAGCAGCCTTTTCTTGTGAAGGGGTGTTCGATATATACAACGCACCCATGTGGGCCTTAACCCTCTAAGCGGTCTGCACTTAAAGTCTTGCCATTCTGGAGAGGCTTCAAAAATGCACCGCACATATTTTTTTGCTTTCAGGTGGGGTTCTCAAAAGCGGTTGAGCCGTATTTTTAAGAATGCAGCTCGGCCGCTTTTGGGAATCTTGTTTGAAGGCAGAAAAAGCATCTCTGGAATGGCGGAATTTTACGTGCAGACCGCTTGGAGGGTTAAACAACCCACACGACACCCGAGCTCAAGCAGCACAACAACGCTTCACTGTTAATGTGTGGGCGAGTATCGTGGGGGACAGTTTATTCACCTCATACATCTTATCGCCTCGAATGGACTCTAACAAGTATCTCGTCTTCTTACGGGAGGTACTTCCGGAACAACTTACACATATCCCCACATCTGTTCAGTGCCACATGGGGGTTCAACGGGACGGGGTACCATTTCATTATGGAGGGTGTGTACGTGACCATATTAGGACCGAGCATTTCCAAACAGGTGGATTGGGCGCGGTGGTCCCGTCGCTTGGCCTCCTATATATTTTGATTTATTTCCTCTGGATTTTTTCTCAGGCGCGCCATGAAGAGCCTTGTGTGCGAAACGTCCTTCAATTCTGAAATGGATCTGGTGGCGAGAATATCCATCGCTGCTGCTACGATTCGTAAAACACTAGGTATTTTCGTACAATTTCGCTAATCTATGTGGCGCAGGTGTCGTGCGTGCATACATGCCAACGGGCGCAATTTCGAATACCTTCTGTGATGGTTTTTATTTTATTTATTATTGGATTTTTTTGTCTTAAACCACACATTTTACCCTACATTCTGTGCTGTGAGCTTACTGTCTACATGTCTCTTTATCTTGTCGGGGTAACGTTTCCACCCATGCTTTCCTATGCAATTATGACTCCTCAGGAAGTTTTCTACCTCCCCTTTAAGTTTGTACACAGGATTCAGAGACACTCTGTACATTTAATTAATTTGTATTCGATGCCTTACTAGTGACAAATATCGTTTTATAAATAGACTCTGCAATCATACGTTAGTGCTCACTCTTTATTTGTGCTTGACTGTCACAACAATATATCTGTCTTATGGGGACAGGAATTTAAGCTTTGAATGATCAGCCCCCAGGTTTTCTAACAACTACTTGGTTTGTTAAGAGTTATTTCCACAATATATAAACAACAACATATAATGAAAGCCAATAAAAAGAGCAACATGTATAATTGATTAACTTGCTTGAAAGCAATACCATAGAACGCCAACTCTCTCTATTTGCTATTTGTCTTCTGAAAGAAATATATCTGTCTTGAGAACTAATCGATTGGAATATCGATACATTTTTTATCAGATGCAATAAACAAGGCTTATTTCTCCACATTAAGCCATGTGGGGTTTGCTATATCTTAAAATATTTGCATACTTCCGTACACTTCTGCAGCGAATATAGGCTTTCAAATTCAAATTGGTTTCCGAAAATTAACATTTTCCTTTGAAACATTTCCTGTGTTTTCCTATTGCTGCGAGTATATAGTTTATCTTAGATGAAATTTCTAAGCATCGCATAATTTCATTTGAAGCTTTTGCGTAGATTTATTAGATCAATGTTGTACAGATATAAGACAAAACAAGACTATGGCTCGAAATATCAAGTCGAGAAAAAAAAGATTAAAGCAACTTATGTTCAAAATGTTCTACATATTTGGAAAGTTCTGGAAATCAAAGAGTTCGAATCAAAGGAGTACTTAGGAAGAATGGAGAAACAAGTTATAATGCAAATGTATTTGTAAGTAAGGAATAATAATTGTAAGGAATAATATTTGTAATAATATTTGTGAATTTATTCTGATGAGTACCTTCCACTCTGTAGGTTGATACATTATTTCTGAGTAACTGCTGTGAACAGAGGAAAAGCAAGTTTTATTACAATATTATGGGCCGAAAATATCCATTAATTTTTCAAAGTTGCTAAGTTTGGTGATATAAATTTATTAAATACTTTTCAGGTATTATGCACTACTGGAATTGATTATAATGTAAGTCATTAAAACAATCCAAAATGTTTACCAATGTCTTTTTTATTCGATATCACTTGAATTTTCTAAAAACGTGCAATATACAATACTTTAGAAAATAGACTCAGAGATATAGCACAGAAAATATTTTTAAAATGGCAGAATTTGAAAAGATTATCACTCTAAATATAATTTTTCTATTTCGTCACTGTGAAATACTTTAGTACATGTATGGGATAACATAGAATGTTTAACATGTAATTTTATTTTTAAAAATAAGTACTTACATACTACAGCAACAATGCCAACGTTCAAGATAACTCTCCAAGTTGGCTACCCGATTTTGCATGTGTTGGACCCTCTGAATTGGCAATCATGTGCTAAGTTTCATATAAAGTCGCCATACGGTTGCGATAATATATGCAACCCAAAAATATAAAATTACGAAGTGTGTTGTCTTAAATAAACATTAACTTTTTTTTTTGTATCAAAGTTTTTAGATCAATTTTGTACTCAAAATAAGTAACCCTTTCATGTGACTAAGGGAAATATTTCGCTCATATTTAAAGTTGGTGGTTGTCGTGTTTAATTATAACCTTATATGCATTTTTCTATACAGAATGACAGAATAGAACGACTTTCGAACGAGCACAATTTTGTAAATGGGAGCGCTAAAAAAGAACTCATGTGTTCTTATTCGTACAAATTGTTTCAGTTTTTACTGTGTCATTTAATAATATATTACTGTGGTTTTTTTCGTGTTTTACGTTATTCGGTAAGTATACTTTGTGCAATAATAAAGTACGCTCAACTCTTTTTTGAAACGATTTTGTATTAACTTAATACACGAACTTAACGATTTTTTATATTTTTTATTTTACACGAATATTTTGTTCTAGCACGAAACTTAAAAAAAAAAAAAATACGAGGATTCATTCTCTTTGCCTGAGGCCGGTTTGAACAAATTTATAACAGTTTATGATACTAAAAATCTCGATTATAACGAAGTCGAAAGTGAAATTCAGGTATTAACAGATGACATAATTCGCAAACGGTTTGAAATTAACTACTAGTATGAAACAAAATTTTGTTATTCATGAGCCTGACGCAGAGCGTATAGTAAAATTTCAACGTTATCTCAAGTTTTGGGTAGAAGCATATCCCAAGAACTATATAAGCGACATGATAAAAAAAAAAAAAGTAATAAAAAAAGTGTGTGTGTACTTATGTACGCACGTAAGAAGTTATACTTCTTTGTAACAAAAAGTGTTCAAACAAATGCATAAGAGCAGCTCCGTTGGCGCGAAAGACGATCTCTTCCTACTAGTAGTGATGTCACAAATCAGCGCAAAGCAAAGGTTCGCAGACACGGAACCTCAGTAGTAGAGCATTCGACTGTTAATTGAGAGGTCTCCTGTTCAAACCAAGATGTCCCCTTCTTCAGGAAAGTGGAGAAAAATATTTTTTTGAGAATTTCGAAGGCGGGAATGATCTGTCCTGTTCTGTATATTACTAGACAAAGCATTTTCGTATCCGTTCCTAAGGAACGCAAAGCAAAAGTTTGCTCAAGCGGGGGTATAGCTCACTGATAGAGCATTCGACTGCTGATCGAGAGATCCCCAGTTCAAACCCGGGAGTCCTCTTCTTCAGGGTAGTGAAGAGAA